ACTTTTGGACTCTTGCTTGCTGGGGTGTTCCAGCGAGTGCCTCTGTAGATCTTAGAAAACTATTTCTAGATTTAAGCCCTTGACGTGCTGGCTGATACCCAAACAGGTGATGAGCTGGAGATGTCTCTGCCTTGATCCTTTCACTATTGGCTGCACCTTCCCGGCGGATGTAAGGTGGTGCAATACCTGCTAGACAGTATAATTTCTCCAGTGGTGTAGGGCGCAGACACCCCGTGATAATGTGGCGTGTCTTATTAAGAGCCACATCCACTGTTTTAGCATGGTGAGATGTGTTCCACACTGGGCAGGCATACTCAGAGCAGAGTAGCATAGCTCAAGGGCAGATGTCTTCACTGTGTCTGGTTGTGATCCCCAGGTTGTGCCAGTCAGCTTTCGTATGATATTGTTTCTAGCACCCACTTTTTGTTTGATATTCAGGCAGTGCTTCTTGTAGGTCAGGGCCCTGACCTACAAGTATTCCAGGTGAGGCATGACCAAGGTAAAGTATTACTTCCCTTGATCTCAATCTATTACTTCCCTTGATCTAGATTTTTAAATTACATAATAAATTCCATACTTTTCTTTCTGTAGTCAGCCTGAAGTTCTTGGGCTACTCTTAGTGAAAGTGAGCCATGGATAAGATGATTATGTACTTACATATTATAACTTTTGAATCCTTCTAAGATAACTTCTACTTTACAGTAGGGCTTTGTGTACTGCTCTTACCCCTTCCCGGTTTGCACTTTTTATGCTCTATATTTCCCAAAGAGAACTCCTTAGTCATGTTTAGTGTCATATTGCTCTATGCTCCATAATAATTAAATACATCTTAAATGTTCCAGAAGGGGACATAGGTCTGAAGCAAATAGAATATAGATGGGCTTCCCTGCCATGAAGAAATTGATTCAATAGGTCTAACCCTGTAGGGGCTAGAAACTGGATGTTTACCTATATTTCCTGTTTTGGTAGCATTAGTTAGAGGTAAGGCAAATGATTTCTACATATTAAACAGTAGTCTATGTTAGTACTTTGGAAAGACAGAAACACTTTATTGTTATTTTTCAATGAAGATGCCATTTCTGATCCCAAAGGTCAAAGACATTAATTTTTATCATGTTTTCTTAATGAAGGAAATTGCTCTAAAACAACACCAAGCTTTTCATTTCTGTCAGCAATTAACGTTGAGTCTTTTTTGCAACAAGAAATATGCAGGTGTGTGCATACTGAATGGTTCATAAATTTCTTTTAGAATAAAAGGATTTAGAAATGAAAGGATACCATAAAAGTTAATCCTGAAATCATTAAAGCAATTTTTGCTAAATACCAGAAGATTAGCAATCTAGTGAATACATGTGCCCTGACATTCTCAGTTATTAACTTTCTAAATTGCCATATATTGAGACTAGTTTAAAATGAAGACTGGAATTACTTTAATTGAGAATCATGAACTATTTCCCCCCTGAACATTTTCTCCAAGTCATTTGTTTTTACCCTACTGAGTCTAGAGGAAAGTGAGAAGTCTAGTATATGAAAGCATTGCTTGTTTGCTTCTGTTTTCTACTGCCAGTAGTATTAACCTTTATCTAGAGCCAGTTCTGAGCAATGTAAATGTTAGGGAACAGCCAAGGATACAGTGGGATTTGAAGAAACTGACCTCAAACTAAGCTTGGAATAAAGTTCCTTGGTGTGATATATATACAGGTGATACCAGATTATTAATGAAAATTGTAAAACCCTCTCCAGTAAAGTACAGATCACTCCTAGCATCCATATCAGTTGGAATTGATATCTGAAGTAAGGTAGCCTACATCTTGCAGGTTCAAATAGGTTTCATATATATATAAAAATCTATACATATATGATCTCCTGCCACATATATAACTCGTAGGCCTGGGCAATTTAGTTCATTATTTCGTTATTTCGTTATTAATTCGTTATTTTTGCATTTTTGAAGCAATATCAAAACACATTTTCAAACCCGGAAGGGTTTAAAAATATCGAACCGGCAGCCCCCATAAATTTAACGAGCTTCCGCTCGTTTCGTTAATGGGATGGAGGCTGCTGGAGTGCTGGTGCCATTCCCCTCTTTCTCGGCCTGGGCTGCTCTCCCCGCCCTCTTTCCCCTCTCCCCGTTTTCCAACACTCCTCCTCCTCCACATGCGGCTGCATAGTGAGTGAAGTACTGTATTATAATAGCGCTGCATCAGGGGCGGCTGAAGCAACTTACGTGCCAAATCCCTGGCTGTGGGCTGCTTGCCTTGCTTGCTCGCTTCTCCAAGCAGGCGAAAGGAGAGGGAGAGAGAAAAACAGTGTGCTGCTGCCTGTCTCTTTAAGGAAGGAGCACATGGAGCCCTCGGCTGCCGGTTTGGCGGAGGGAGGGAGGCAGGCGCGCGCAGAGCAACCAAGCGCGCGCCTGCCTCCCTCCCTCCGCCAAACCGGAAGCCGAGGGCTCCATGTGCTCCTTCCTTAAAGAGACAGGCAGCAGCACACTGTTTTTCTCTCTCCCTCTCCTTTCGCCCGCTTGGAGAAGCGAGCAAGCAAGCAAGCAGCCCACAGCCAGGGATTTGGCACGTAAGTTGCTTCAGCCGCCCCTGATGCAGCGCTATTATACAGTACTTCACTCACTATGCAGCCGCATGTGGAGGAGGATTCAGGAGCATTCTCTCCTGACGTTTCTCTCATATCTTATAGCAGGCATCCTCAGAGGTTTGTTGGAAACTAGGCAAGTAGGGTTTATATCCCTGTGAAATAACGTCCAGGGTGGGAGAAAGAACCCTTGTCTGTTGGAGGCAATTGTGAATGCTGCCATTGGCCACCTTGATTAGCATTGAATGGCCTCGCAGCTTCAAAGCCTGGCTGTAGAAGGTCCAGGGTGGGAGAAAGAACTCTTGTCTGTTGGAGGCAAGTGTGAATGTTGCCATTGGACAGCTTGATTGGGATTAAATGGCCTTGTAGCTTCAAAGTCTGACTCCTTCCTGCTCAGGGGAATCCTTTGTTGGGAGGTGTTAGCTGGGTCTGACTCAAACCCGCTATGTCTGTATAGTAGGCCTGTGCGGTTTCGTTTTCCATTTTAAAATATTTTTAATATTATTTTTAATATTATTTTTTAATATTATTTTTTAATATTATTTTTTAATATTATTCTTAAAAAATAAAAAAATATTCTAAAAATTCGTTAATATTTACAAAATTTTGTAAATACCAAAACTTTTTTTGGGAAAGTTTTGTAATTATTTTAAATAACGAAACAAAAAAACACCCCAATTACAAAACGATTACAAAACCAAATTTTTGCGTTGTTACCCAGGCCTAATAACTCGAGCTTCTTCTCACCATAGAGATAACTTATTGGCTTCCATTATGCCTCCAATTTTTGTAGCATCTCCAGCTAATTTCACTTTTGGAAGAGTGATATTCAAGGTGGCTAACTGCAATTGTGACCAGTACAACATGCCCCCATTCCTTTCTAACACTGGTCATCACATCTGCCGATATTAGAATGAGGTGCCCATACATCCAGCAAGGAGAGCATTGCTCTACCTCCTCCTTGCTGATCATGCAAGTGTCTCTTTCTGATATCAAGAGACTCAACAGGTGATGGCCAGATGATCTCAAGAAGCTCTTAGGTGTCAGGAAGCAGTAGTAACAACACAAGGACAAGTGGGTGGCCTATATAATCTTGACATTGACTTCAGATTCAACAGATTTATGCTGGATTGGGTGGCTGCAGAGCAGAAATACCCTGGAATAACCTGCCCAATGTTGACATGGCCTCTGATTCTGCTTATCTATGTGGGCATGCATCTTGACATGTCATTTTCTGTGTGTTGGTACCAAATCAACTCTGGAGCAGATACAAGGAACACAGACTTGACCTGTGTTACCTGACGCACATTATCTGAAGTTGTTGGATAATCTGTCACTTTTCCAAAGCTATGGATTATCCAGTGACTTCAGGGCCATTGGGAAAGTGGCACAGTTTATTATACATCATTCCACTTTTCCCAGGTTCAGGCAATCCAGGGAAAGAAAATGACACCTGTACTTTGCCCCTCATAAAATGGAATAAACAATAACATCTAAATGATATAAAACACAAAATACAGCACATGTAGTTGCCCACACCATAACAGCATCACTATAACTGCCCCGTGAAAATGTACCCTTAGATTCTTTTGACATTCCTTCTGCATAATTATTATTATTAGGACTAGTTATATCATCTTTTAACACAACAACATCTCTTAGTTGTTTATGTATTATATCCTGACATACTTCATCTCCTGGTCCTCTCAGTGAGTTGTGTTTGGTACTTTATACTGTGGCCATTATTGTATAAAGGTTGTAATTTTTGCTTATTTCATTCTCACTTATGAAAATGAAAAAAAAACACATTAATTTTACTGCCTAATGAAACTACAATAGTTCTTGGACTTTTTCCCAAATCATATGCTTCATTTTAATTGTTGAAAATGTGTTATGGGTTTATGGATTTTGTTCAAGAATAAATTTTGTACAAAAACCAACCAATATTCAGGTATTCTGCATCCATAGATTCAAGCATCCATGACTTAAAAATACCACGATCCTTGATGTTGCCATAACAAGCACTATTTTACTGCACCATTGTATATATAGTGGAATTTAAACATTCATGAATTTTGGTATCCATGGAGTACCTGGGAATCAAACCCTACCGGTTGCCAAAGACACACTGATGTGCTTTTACACTGCAAAGATATGTATCTTTATCTACTCAAAATAAAAATCATAGAATTCATCAGATAACTGTATGGAATTGTTTGCAGTCTTTCTTCAGCTTTGATTTCTTTGTTAACAAATAAATGGATTCATAACTAAATCCAGAGGGACAATTAGAGAGAAAGAAAAAGACAATTTCCTTCGAGAGTTATATCGGTTATATAAAAAGAAGGTATTTCAATTGAGTTGTGAGAAAAATACTTAATGTTTGCATCTTTTCTCGTTCATTTTTTCCCTAGATGACACGGGAACAGTATATATTGGCAACACAGCAAAACAACCTGCCAAGAACAGAAAATCCTCAATTTTATCCAGTAGGAATTTATGGTTGGAGGAAGCGGTGCCTATACTTCTTTGTCCTTTTACTCTTGGTGACCATGATAGTTAACCTAGCCATGACAATATGGATTCTAAAAGTAATGAACTTCACAGTGGTAAGTAGTATCAAGGTGTTTACTATTTGTTTATATGCACATGTCAAAGAGTTTGGGTAGTGATCGTTTGACAGTACATTTCAGGGAGCTCTATTTATTGTTTCAGTGGGCAAACTACTTTTTTAAAAAACTTGAAAGTGGAAATAGGAAAGAAAACATGGGGCAAACAGAAATTCACATCACAATTCAGTGATCTGCTCCTATACATCGTAATAATTGACGTGTTAAAGATAGTACTGATAGTAATGTTTGTGGTTTTATTTCATTTATATAAAAAAAGTTGTAATGTTTTCAGCCTAGCTTCAGCTGTAACTCATGCACGAAGTGAATATATTTCTAATTTTCTATGCATGCTTATATATGCTAACTTTAGCCTCTAGAAACCATAATGACTCATAGGAATAGGTCCAATTACGAACAGAATCCTGGATAGAACTTTGAGTTGTGGTAGGGAGTTGCAATGCCAGTCTGAATGACTTTGATGCAGGCATCCAGAGGTTTTGTGAAGCTGTTATCTCTTTTCTCCAGCCATGCCTCCAGAGCAACATTGATATGGTGACATTTCAGCAAAGGATGACAGTCCACCAGGGTGTTGACTGCAGCCCAATTGAGAAGCAGTGGCAAAGCTAATAGTTGATCCTCTGCCACCCAAGAAGGGCCACTATAATTTATCATAACAAAATTCTTCCTGGAACTTTTTTTTTAACAACCCTATTTTTTTACCACTGGAAGTGCTTTTTCCTTTCTAATTCCCTTTCTCCTTTGCCCATGAACTTAAAAAAAATGTCAAACTCTTCAGTATCCAATACAAACACTGGACCTTCACAGGCCCTGTTCTTTTCCACCTGAGATAGAAAGGTGTGCCAAGCATAGTGTTACATTAGACCCCACTTTCTTGGTCTCTACACATTCTAGTGGTTTTGAATCCTGTAAAGCCAGTGGTGAATCATTTGAATTCCATGATCCAATATGGAATTTGGGCACAATGGAATGAGTACATCAACATTTTGCTCAGATAATTGAAATATTTGGCTAATAGTCAGCTGCTAAGGGTGCAGAACCAGTAAGATGGAATGTTGGTGCTCATATGGAACAAATATGAAACTATAGGGGCATCTATGCTGACCACTCAAGTCAGTATGAAGCAAACATTGAGGGAAGGGATTTCACTATCATCATACATGTGAAATTCGTGTACAGGTTGCTGGCTGGCTGCTGCTCTAGAGACCAGGGCACAAGGGAACAATGGGTTCAAATGGCAGGAAAAGAGATTCAACTGGAAATATTAGGAAGAACTTCCTGAGAGTAAGAGCTGCTGGAGAGTAGCATAGGCTGCCTGGGTGGTGGAGTCTCCTTCTCTGGAGGTGTTTTTTTTTTGTTTTTGTTTTTTTTTTGCATAGGCTGCCTATTGGGAGTGCTTTGATTGTCCCTTCCTGCATGCCAGGAGGTTGGACTGGATGGCCCTGGGGATCTCTTCCAGCTCTAGGATTCTAGAATTCTACATATAGATTAAGCAATACAGGGTCTCATTGGTGCACTTTTTCTCTCCTGCCCACCATCCCATCCTGACCAAGGCTAACCCTTTTGGGATTCAAACGTTTCCCATCTTTCCTTCACTTTCTGCCTCCAAAAGAGAAGAGGAAGATGGGAAAGGGCAAGAAGGGGTCTTGGGGAGAACCCCCTCCCTCCCGGTCTGCCCACCCTGCACTGATGCTTGAATCACGCATGGCAATCCTGAGAGTTAGTCTCCAAACACCTCATGCCTGGGAAGATGTGAACCTTCCTGGAAGGTCCACATCTTAATCCAGGTTAAATTGCATTATCATGAGGCATTGTTTGAATGCCTAGTGATAATATGCCCACATTTTTGTGCAGTCTGGATGGGGCCTTATATGCACTAAAGAGACTGACCTTGAACCAGCTTCAGGATCAACAGTCATGGAAGAATTGGGGCTTTTGAAAATGCCACTCCTACCCCCCCCCCTCCCGCCATCATAATGTACATGTGGGGATCATCAGAAGACACATACCTTAAATAAAATAACTGATGTGTATAACAAATTCTTTTTCAAAGTAACCCCCAACATTTTCCCAAGTCCTTAATGCATATTTGCTCTGCACCTTCATGGCATGCATCACCTGAACATAATGCTGTCAAGTACCCTTCAAATTGCATTAAGTGGTCAGTGTAGATGTGCCCTTAGACTGGAAAATGATCCCTTTTTTCCCAGTGGAATAACTAGTAAACACAGCACTGTAGATTTACTCTGTTGTTGTAAATAATGAAATATATTGTTTTCTTCTTTATTTTTGTGGGATTTGTAAAATAAAATATTGTTTTGCCTCAATGCATCTTACCTGCTTTTATCATGCAAAGCACTTTTAAAATCCCATTGGCTTTATTATCCATACATATATCAGTATATTTTATGGGTCATAATAACTTTTCTTAGGCAACGTAGTGTCTTCATCTCTATAGATCTACACTGCCATGTTTATGTATTAAAATTGGGTTTGTAATGGCTGCGCTATGATGATTCAGTAGCCTTACTCAAGAATTATTCATATGCAGTAACAAAACAGGGTTTCAAAACGGCCAGAATAAAATCATATTAAAATTAAAATCCAAACAGTTATAAATGTGTGGACTGTATTTTGTACATTTAAATCATCCTTGGTTACATTTTTTTATACTTTTGAAAAATACTTTCTGTTTACATCTATGTTCTGTGCGGTTTTTTTCCTAGTGATTTTTTTTCTGGATTAAGAATAATAGTTAATTGAATATATTGAAAAATTATGCATTTCAAATTTATCAGAACCTTCAATACACAACTAGAATACGACTTGGTAGCCTCCATTTACATAAGCCCTGTTGATTTAATTGAATCTTCTTCAGTTTGAATATAAATTTAAATTTGTCCTTTGTATTCACTGTTGGAATTAAACATGACAAATTAAACATACTTAGATTTGTTTTGAAGATAACTTCCTTCTTTTTTGAACTGGACTAAAATTCCCCTCCATATCCTCTCTTTTCCATAACCAAGTTGTCATTATAGGAAAATGACCACATGTAATCTGAAATACTCTGACAACTTGGTTAATTAAATACACTTCTTCCCCAAGGATGTTGAAGTAAGACCCTCCCCATTTCAAAGCCATATATCCTGTAGTCACCTCAGTTAGAGTAACAACCGGTGATGTATTATGTTAATGGCTTTTGTCCCAAAAGGAGATGCTTTGGGTGCACACCAGATGTATTTCTTATTTTAGCTGTTTTCCGCTAAACCTATTTTTAACCACCAAAAACCCAATTTTCCCTCTAGTAACAGTATAGCATAGGCGAAAAAACCCTCCTAGAACATAGAAGGGAAAAAATCCTATCTGGCTCCCTAAGGCAACCAATCATTATACTGTTAATGGGCAGGTGAGGTAGGTCGACGTCCAGAAAAGACTGAGCTGGAGGGAGGCTATTTCCCTCCTGGCTCCACCCCCCAAAGTAGTTCTAGCAGGAACTACTTTGGGTTGATTTTCATCCTTGGGGGAGGAGGTAAAGCTCTCTCCACCTCCCAAGCTGCACCGGTGGGGGAGAAAGATAATTATTATGATAGTGTTAATAGTATTCATTATTATGACCTCACTTTTTATCTGTGAAATGTTAGAAAGAATTTAGTTGTTGTACACAGTGTGTTTTTCCAACTACAGTACCTAGCCAGTCATTCTAACTGTTTGAAGAGTTCAATATTTATACTTTGTGCTACTTATTGACACTATCAAAACACAGTACCAAGTGCAGGAGCCATGGTGGAAAGCCATCTTCCTTTAAGGGATTATTGAATCAAATTTCAAATTTAGTCTGCAGGAGCGGTAGAAAATCTTCACTGCCTGCTGACTGGTAGATTGTGGTCTCTGCTTCACTAGCTTAAGTTATGTACATGTGGCTGCAATCATTATACAAATGGGGGCTTAATGATTTCTAAAGATAACATTTGAAGTTTAATGCACTTTATACCTAAATCCAGTCTTTCATGACTGCTCTGCTCTGGCATTTCACGAAATCACTTAGCTAATGTGGATTTTAACTGTCCCTTCAGTTCTAAATCCAATTAGATCGTAAGCAGTTGACAAGTGAAAATTAATCTTTAATCCTCCTTTGTTACTCTGTGAGAATGAACCAGCATCTTTCTCCCTTAGTTCAAATAGTAAACTGTAGAAAGCAGAGAAGGAAAATAAATTAGGAGTGATTTTTTAAAAGCCATGGCGGAAATAGTTCAGGGGGCCTTACTGATCTGCTGCAATTATATTTCACTTTTATTTGTTTCTCTTTGCTATCCCTTAAGTGCAGATTCATACTTGTTAACTTTAAGTTATCAGGAAGGAAAATACATTGTTGTTGTCATGCAGTTTTCTTCCTATGAAGGCTGATGGGATTCCTCAGTTTTTATGAGAAATTCCTGAATGTATGCTGTATTGTTGGTATGAGAACAGTTGTAAGATATATTAGAAATATATAGGTTCTACTCCAAGCAAGTATGCCCTGTTGAAATAGAGAGCAAAAAAATGTAATAAAGAGGGAAGAGCAGAAAGAGAAGTTAATAATCATGGTGATTCAATAAAGTTGTCATTGTTTACAGCACTTATGGACAGTGAAATGGTGTACTAGAAGGTTAAAACTCTTTTCAGTGATTTTGAAATATTGCTTGAATGACAGCAAACAGGCCTGCAGCCGGGGGGGGGGGGGGGGGGTGGGGAGTTAGATGTTTCAGATTTTTTAAAAAAACTGGTTTACTCATGAATTTTAACTGGTTAACCAAATACCCATGCTAAGTCTATGAGATGCAAAAAATTAGTCCCTCCAGAACTGTAAGCACTATCTCAAGCAAATATTGACAATTTATTCACACTGTCATTACTTGCAGCAATAGCCGATGTAGAAGCAACCAAGTTGGGGGGGGGGTTGTTGAATGCTCTCATTAAGGAGGCCAGACTTGGTGGAG